CCTCCCCTTCCCTTATGGAAAGGGGGGCGTGTTTGCCGGATGCCGCCCCGCTCGTGGGGATCGCCCTCGCGGAGGGGGGGGAGGGGCGGGAGATGCGGGTGTGCGCCCCCCCCGGCGCACCGCCTCGCCTGCGCGATTGACGGCGTCGGCGGGGAGACCGGGCGGGCGGCCCTCACCGCACGGTTGGTCGCCCTCCACGAGCAGCGAATTGAGCTCAGTGTTATCGCGCCAGACAACCGCGTGGTGACTCGGCTGGAACTGCGCATTCCGCCGCGGTGGGGTGTGGGGTCATCGTGGGGGGCCGCCCTCTCTGAGGACGGGATCGCCATCGACGTCGAGGAGGGCCAACGCACGAGCGGGGAGATGTCGATGACTCTCGATCGAATGCCGGAGCGCTCGATGCAGGGGCAGTTCATCGCGCTCGACACATGCGTGCCGCATTTTCTCACGCTTCGACGGTACTCCGCGGAGAAAGGGGTTCCCGGGGGGCCTTTTGGAGAACTTCGCCTTCGGCTTCCCAGTTTTATCACGGGGAAGGTGCTCAAGGAGCTTGCTGGGCTTTACCGCCGTCTCACCAACGGCGACCTCCACGCGATCGCGCTAAAGGAGCGGCTCGCCGAGCTCCATGCGCGGACCCCCTCACCCGAGGCGAAGGAGCTCATTCAAAGTTTATCCGACGCCCTCAGAGTAGAGGATAAAGGGGTAGTCCCTCCCTCGCACAGCCCCACCAACTCACCAAAAACTTCGGGGAATATTTACTTCCGTTTGAAGGGCGAAAACTAAGAAGAAAAAAGAGTGATAATTTATATCGCGTAATGACTTTACCTTTTTATATATTTTTTGCTGTAGATTTTAATTCCTTTGGCTAAAAATGGACTTTTACATTTAAACGCATTTACTACCTTTGAGTGAATTGCCGTTTGATATATTCTTGTTGCCTCATGAATATAGATACCTTATAGTTCAAACACACCTTATTTTCTGTTTTCAATTTGTAGGTATTCCAGAGGTTGCATTCACTTGCAATCTAATCTTATTCCATATCTGTCTGTTTATCCTGTATAGATATATGTATATAAATATTACATTCCTCTAGAGTCTTAGATTGTGGTATGTGTCTTTATTTAAGTGGATTCGTGTCAGATATTTTTTTTTACATTCAAAATAACATTATTATTATGTTTATTGGATTACAAGTTGTTTTCTACTTTGAGGATGTGGATATTGTCCTTCTATACTGAATGGTGTTTCTTTCCTCTCTTTTTTATTTACTATAACCAAGTAATAAGTTGAAATGTGTTCAATAATACCTGATAAGAGTACTCATCAGATCGCGTGTGGATTTTATATCTTATAGAACTTTCTAATAGGCTAAAGTTTATTTCAGGTTTGAAGAGATCGTGCTCAAGTGTATCCCAAGTACAAATAATGCCCCATATCCTCCAAATTTATTACGATTGAAAGATCACGGACATACTTGCGAACTTCAGTTTCATTACATATGAGGATAATTGAGTCCGACAAAACAATGATCTATTTAAATTTAATTCTTTAACATCTATTAGGAAGGTATGAAAAGATTGTAGCTATGAGCATTTGGTTATATGTTTGTTAGTGCACATGTGCCCATAGCATGCCATTTTGAGAGTACGTAAATGAAAAATTTAATCCAGCACCTCAACCATTGCGATAATTTTATTTCAATGGTTCCTTCCTTTGTGTGCTAATTATTCTTTAGTTTTTTTTAAAGGGGGTGCGAATATTTACATTTGTCTATATTGACGCACATTCTTTATGCCTGATCAAGTTTTCAAATAGGATTCGAAGTCTACCACACATGTCTTTCCCCTATCATTTTAAAAGTGATGAAATTAACACTTTTAGTTATTTATTCTTTAAATAATACTACGTCATGGTTTCTAATTTTTTCCCCCCATATTGTGTATGTGGATATTTTTTACCGACTTTTCTTTCCCCTCACATGATCATTCCATTCAATGGACTTTATTATACCTTAACTCAAACGCACTTATTTGGATATTCATGAATGCTTTAGATCTGCACTTTTTTTTACCTTTGTTCATTCATTTCCACTCCTTGTGAAGGAGGGTATTCTTCCTAGTGGCAGCATAGTCTTCATTGAAGTACGGTTTTGTAGTTGTTCATCATTCATTTGATTAGAATTCATCCTTTCCATGTAGATTGCCAGCGTCCCTGACATCGGTTCTTTTTTCTTTCTCTGTGGATTCAACCGTAAATGCCTCGCACCTTTCAATACACCCGACCAAAGACAAGCCCCGAGGAAACGCTTTTAGACTTTTTATGCCGTAAATTCACGTATTTAACAAACTCCCAATGGCAAGCGCATCTTCACGCCGGGCATCTTTCCATCGGTGACGTCCCAGTCTCCGACGGCCGCTCGATTCTCCGGCAGGGGGATCCGATCACCTTCTCGCCGCCCCGGAGTTTAGAGCCGCTGGTGGATGATGTGAATATTGAAATTCTCTACGAGGACGCCGAGGTCGTGGTCTGCGTGAAGAATGGAAATTTGCCGGTCACGGAGGGCGGGCGGTACTGCGAAAATACGTTGATTTCGATCCTCCGTCGGGCAGGGACCCGCCCATTTTACGCGAAGGGGCTATTCCAAAAGACGGCAGTCGCGGTCCGCGCATCCCCGCGCGAAGATTCCGTGGAGGGTCCTAAAGGGCCTTGGGAAGCGCCCGAGGGATCTTCGTGTGCGGCCCCCTGCACCGATGGCGGTGGAGGGGAGGGGGATGTTGTTGATTTCTTCCCCATCCACCGCTTAGATAAGGAGACCTCCGGCGTGGTGGTCATCGCGAAGGAAGCGGCGGTCGCCAAAAGCGTTGGGGCGTGGCTCGCGCGGCAGTCCGCCGGGGGGGG